CTCCCTCCCTCCCTCTCTCTCTCTCTCTCTCTCTCTCTCTCTATCTATCTTCTACCTAATCACCCCATGGGCTGTTTCCAGGCTGCGGGCTTGACTTTGACATCCCTGCCTGTTCTGACCCATCCCTGTTGCCAGCAAGAAAATCTCAAACAAACACAGCAACTCAAACCTTCTCAGCTTTAATCTACAAATAACTTCTTTGTAGATAAAAGATGGCTTGCAGCCAATTAGTCCAACCAGAAAAGCCTTGACAGAATTCTTCAGATACGCCAGGTGGACCTACAATGCTGGGTCCTTAGAGCGTTTTTGCCTTTTGCAAAAGCAAAAACCTTTTGAAACAAGGCTTATATTCCATGGAGGGAGGGGCCGTTACATTGCATCCTTACTCCTGAGTCGCCTGTGTTGCTCCAGCTGTTCTCTTCTATCAATCATCCTGTGCTCACATGCACTTGGCACAGGCTTCTCAGGAACCTCCTCGTCACTGCTGCCAGCCCCCACAATCCCTGAAGGCAGCAGTCCATTCCCTGATGGTCCTGGCCCCTCATCAGAGTCCTCGCTCTCCTCAGCCGTCCGCACCTGCTGCTGGCTAATCATAACACTGCCCTAGATCACAACGCTTCTATTTCAAGAACAGCTGCTTTCGGAAATCATCAGACTAGCCCCTAACAGCATAGCAGTTTGGGGGCAAGGGAAGGATTTAAAGTTACCTGGAACATCTTGGCCCTAAATTGAGGAGTCCTGCGTATATCCAGTAGGTCTATTTTAAACAAGTCAAAAATTGAGATGAACGTCCTTTTGGGTACTGTATAGGATTCTGCTAATAATTCTTACTAGTGTATTGGAATGCTCACATTTTGGTCCTTCTTTTATTGAACTTCTTTGGTGTTTTTTTTTCTTTCCCACCTGAAAGCCGCTCGTGTTTGGTGCCATGGTACACAGAGACGAAGCTTTTGAGACTATTTTCTGCCAGTATGTGAAGATAACCTCTGCAGCATCTGCCAGTGAAAGCTAGTATATCATCCTTGCCGGGTTTTTATAGGAAACGTCATGAGTTTTACTCACCCAGCAGTGAATAAAAAGGTGGAACATCCTTCATCATCAGTCCTGCAATGGTTTTCTTTGTTGCATATATATGTCTTATGTTACAGAAAGTGTATTTTATTACATGCCTTCCATGGTTTCTGTTGGTTTTTATTTACTGGGGTTTTTTTTTTTTGTAATAAAATAAAAGAACAGTGAAAATGCTATCGGCACTGTTAACCTTGCACATTAAGCACTTTTAATGTTTGTTCACTGACATTAAAACGCTTAGGAAGATTCTTAGTAAAACTAGCTTGAGGGGTAGGCCTTGTCTTAATTAGACATACCCTGAACTCTGTGGTTCATCTGATATTTCTTTAGCTACGGGTTCTGCACACACCCACTGCACAAATTCCATTGATTTCAGTGGCATTATGGTGCAAGTTTGTGATTGAATTTAGCAAAAACTGTCAAGAACATGATTCATTTTCCTAAATGAGATGTAAATAATAGTTGAAAGTATGAGTATTTGAAGCTGTGCTTCCGGAAAACCTTCATACTGACTTCTGTATCTTTTCAAAAGGCATTTATAGGTTTAGAGACAGTTGGGAGATGAAATTAAATCTTCAGATAGTCAGTATGCTCATTTCTTCTCGGCCTACCTAACACATCTTTCTTTGTCGTTAATCTTATGTCCCTGTGTTGACGTAACAAACGTTTCCAGTGTTTTCAATAGCGAAGCAACTTTTTAGAATTATTTGGCATGCTGCATTATCCTGTATTTTCCTTAAAATATTGGATAAACATGAAGTTGAAAGTTATCACAAATGTGCCCATTGGAGTGGATGAGGAATAATGGGAATAGTGTTGTATCAATGTACTACAAGCTCTGCACCCTTTGTAGTACTTTGAAATGTCATATACTTATAAAAAAGGAGTGCTACAACATTGGATTAACATAATTTTGATGAAACCCCTGGATCTTGCTGTTACCCTTGTATGTGTCCATAATTCTTTTCCTTTGGTATTTTAGCTTCTTGAGAGCTGTAGCCACACTTTTTGTAGTAATTAACTTCGTGTGTGGTAGTCTTTAATCATGAAAAAGAAATTGAGTAGATGGTTAAAACTCCACATGTTAATTTAATATTTTATAAAGGTGGCCGTGATACATTAATTTTGGTTTCTTTTATTTCAAAGTCAGTTTTTGAAGAGTGGATGGTTCCTAACAGAAGCAGTAGATCCTGGAATCTATTCTGTACTCCAAATGATCCCCTCAGTTACTTTTTATTATATACATAGAGTCAATTGTTTACAAATACGATTGGAACTGTCAAATAAGAAAAGAGAGAATCCTTCTGTGCTATGAACTAGTCTATCCCAAGCCAATCCCTTGTTTTACATTATGTCGTTGACTTTGTTACATGCATTTGCATGTAACATGTCACTGCTGTAAAGCTTAATTATTTTAACTTCAGATGTCATAAGAAGATGGAATTTTGCAAAAAAAAAAAAATAGAAATGAAGGAAGCATGACTAAAATTGTGGGTAATAAATGCTAGAAAAGTTTAACAAACTGATTTATGTGTGGGGAAAAAATTGTTTAAAAAACTTCTTAAAAGGATTAAAACACACATTAATTATTGGTCTAGAATCAGGATCTGAAAGGTTCATATGCTCTTATATTTTCTATAAGGTAATACAGAGATTTTCAACTCAGTGGTAATGCGAGCCCCTAAAATGTTAAAATGAATTTAATATATGTGATTTTCCATGATGAATTAAACTCATGATTTCAGTGGACTTGGGATAAGGCAAAAATATACCACTGATTTTTTTAATAATTAAGATGCAATTCACATAGAAATTGCAAATCATATAGAATTAAAACATGAGAAAATATTGCAACTTTATAACAAAAAACCTTTTCACTGGAAATAAATGGTAAAGCCGTCAAACCATAATTTTAATGGTAAGAATACACTTGTTTTCTTCTTTATGACCCTTGAAATCTGGATTTCATTTTTGAGATAGCTGCTCTCATACTGTATTTTGTTCCATGTTTATTTTGGATTAACATTGCCTTTTATAGCAGCAACTGGTTAAAAATTAAATAAATCATAACATTGCTGTTGGCGTGATCAGGCAGAGTGGGAGCAACATCTTAATGTGATCTTGATTTGCATACTCAAAACGTTTGTAGCACCCCTCAAAGTTGGTGATGAGGGCCCGGGGCTTGTGACCCCCAGTTTTGAGAACCAGCACTGTAACGTGGAAAAAAAGTTAGTGATGGTAAAATGTCACCTTTTTTAGTAATGCATTTCTGTATTAACATTTTGTGATATATATAAAATGTTAAGCTGGTAGGCTTCATAAAACTTGGAACAAATAAGGGTTTTGCCAGGCACAATCCCAGCAAGTAAATGTAAAGATGGGGATATAAACATTGTGTCAGATTAACATTTTTACTAACCTAAATTAGAATTGTATTTACACAGAATTGGCGTTTTTCCCCTTCTTTTTAAAAATCATGTTTATATATTTAATCTTATTAATTAAAATTTATTAAACTCAACACGGGTTTGTTAAAATAGATCATACTAGACACACCTTCTTCTTTGGCTTCTTTGACAAAAAAGATTAAATTAGTGGATCAGGGAAATGCTGTGGACATAGTTTACTTCATCTTCAGTAAGGCATTTGATAAAATAGACTATAGCTTATTTCTTGGTAAGAGAAAAATGTGGGATAGACAGCATCACAGATGGTTTTGTAACTGGCTGACCAACCACACTCAACATGCAACCCTCAATGGAACGACATCTACATGGAGAAGGACATGCAATGGGATACCTCTTGGGCCCAGTGCTCTTTAACATCTTCATAAATGAGCTAGAAGAGGGGAAAGAAGGGGTGCACAGCAAATTTGGAGATGATACCAAGCTGGGGGGGAATAGTCAACACTTTAGAAGGTAGGCTCAAGATCCAGAAGGATCCTGGCCCCCATTAAACAGAATTAAATTCAGTAGTGAGAAAAGTAAGGTCTTTATACATAGGCGAAAGAAACCCAAAACCAACTGCAAAGGTGTAGAATAGGTGATACCTAGCTCGACAGCAGTGTCTGTGAGAGTCCTAGTTGACAATCACTTAAGTATGACCCAGGAGTGTGTTGCAGCTGCCAAAACAGCCAACACAGTTCTAGATTGCATCAACAAAGGGATGGTATCAAGTTCATGTGAAGTGATTGTGCCCTTTACCTGCCCTACAAGTAGTCCTCCATTGTACAACCTTTCCTGCCACAGTTGTTAAGTGGTACACTGCAGTTGTTAAATTAGTAAGAGGGCGGTTCAGTGAATCTGGCTTCCCCATTTACTTCGCTTGTCAGGAAGGTCACCAAAGGCATAACCCTGGGACACTGCAAATGTTATAAACACGAACCATCTGCATTTTGGTCACGTGACCAAGAAGTAATAGGTAGAGAATCATTAAAGAGAGGTCCAATCTAGAATTAAGGATAATTTTCCTGACAGTGGAGAAGGGTGGGTGTCACTGAAGGCTTTCAATAAGAGACGGGGCAGCCATTAGTCAGGAATGATACAGGGTCTCCTGATGGAGCAGAAGGTTAGATTAGAAGACCTCTGAAATCCCTCCCTGTTATTCTATGTTCTGTGAGATTTTTCTCTGGGGAAAATAATAGATTATATTGTTTACCGAGGAAGCTATTTTTCTCTTTTTTTCTTCCTTCTATATCATTTTCAGGTGTACTTTTTAACCTTCAGTCTGTTTCAAAAATTACTGCTTCTGATGAAAATCGGATAACCATTTTTTTTTTTTTGGTAGTCACTCAAAGACTTGTTCTAGAACAGTGTACTCTAACTTCAAGATGTCTAGATTCAAGATGGCAACTTCAAGATGTCTAGATTTTTGCTCCCAGAATCCCCCAGTTCTGGAAGTTGAGGTCTACACATCTTAAAGCTGATGAAGTTGAAAACTATTATTTTAGGAGGTGGTTGCTTCAAAACTATTTGTGAGGTACAGTCATGCCACAATGGTAATCTTTGATTTTTATATTTTCAGAATGAAACAGTATGCGTAAATAGCTTTCAATTTTCCCCTGTTATTCTGTGATCTTACTAAAATGTTCAGAATAAGCTGTACTTTTAAAAGTACATCCCTTAAAGAAAAGAGACTGGAATAGAACATGTATTCAAATTAGAATGTGAAGACCATTAATGTCTGTATCGTGTACATGAAAAAACAGGCATTTAGGAATTAAGTGAATCTTATCATGCAACATTTAGCTCAGTGTCCAATCCTTAATTTTATCCCAGCCTATTTCTGCACGAGGATATAAATTCTCCCACCAAAATTAAAAAAATGTCTCAATTTGTGTGCATATTTTCCTGATCTCTCCTGTACCCAATTCACCACTTCAACAATGAAATATATAATTTTGTAGACTTTTGATGACATTCATTTGTAAAAAATACATACACATTTCCACCCATACACAAAAAGGTTGTAGGAGATGTGAAATGTACATTTCGCCATTGCAATGCAGTCTAATTTAGACAAGCATTTGGAAAATTAGGTGAATATGCATTAAAATGGGAACTATCTGGTTTTTTTGCCCTTCCTTGCTATAGCCATCTACATTTTTGTACTGAAAGGACTAATGCATAATTAACTTCTGTTCTTTGTGATATGGGATATTTGATCTCATGCCCTAAAAATAATTTTGGTGTGCTGGACCATCTCAGTGCTTTTTTTTCATTCTTATATCCTGAAATGCTGAATATTTGTCAATCTATTCTGTACTCAGGCAATCACTCTTAGGTTTGATTTAAATTCATCTCTTTCTATGGGATTTTCATTATCTACTTACTGAATGTAGCTCCATTAGTGCTACTAATACAAAGTATTACCTTACAGTAGCATTTTTAAAAAATCATTTTATAAATTTGTTGTGCTGATACATATATAGTAATATCTCCCGTGGCTCATGATGATTTTTTAAAATTTAGTTAAATAAGGTCTTTTCCTAGAAACATAGTGGTCATGTTGGAGACCTTTTGTCATCATAAAAGGATATGAAAACAGATCACAACTTATGTTCCCTCCCTAAACTGCTAGAATCAGAAATTTTATTACATTAACATATTAATTTTGCAGGATTTGACTCTAGGCAAATCATGTAGCACCATAATGCAAAACTCTTGCAAAGTCAGTGGACTTTATGCTGTATAAACCGAGGGGGGATACTGTAGAAGTATGGGAGTGTTTGACCTGCAAAAGCAAATCTGGTAGTTTATAACTAATTATGTACATTTGGGCAGATATTTTTTTTTTCTGCTACTAATCATTAAAAAGAATGGATGTGAAATACTTTTTATGTCTATATTTTGAAGTTGTAAATAATACATTAGCAGTGTAACTTTTGTTCAGACAGAGTTGTACTGTATGAAAAACTGAACTGAAACAATTTGCCCTGTACATTTTTTAAGAGAACTTTCTTCGTTTAAAAAAAAAAGGGGGGGGGAGGTGGAATAGGGTATCTTGGTATAAATTATAATTTTTAATTAAATAAACCCTAAAAATGCTTTCTGCTCTTGGTTGTTTTTCTTCGTGGGAATTTATTTGTTTAATATATTCATATAGCCACCCATCTCAAATAGCTCTGGGTAGCATTTAACACAGCAACAGTTAAAAACTCCCTGACAATCTAAAAGAAATAAATCAAGCACATAACGTAAACATATAAAATAGAACCTAAGAAAGTGGGAGAATAAATATCACTTAATCTCATACAATCACCTTATAAGTTGTTCCTGGGATCCCAATGCTGGTAAAAAAAAAAAGTTTTAAGGGCCATCTGGAAGGCTAATGGGATGGGGGGCTCACCTCACCTCAGGGAATAATGGGCCACAGGGTGGGGGCCACAGCAGAAAAGATGCACCGCTTGGTTTCTCTCAGAAGAATCTCCTTAGAGGGCGGGATCTTAGAGTACGTTGCCTTCTACTGACCTGGTGGATGGATGGGCAGATGTAATTGGGAAGAGGTGGCCCCTCAAAATGGTCCCCCCCGCTTTAAAAGTCAAAGCGAGCATCTTGAATTACACATGGGAACCCATACAGTGCACAAAAGAGGTATAATAACTATCAGCACAGGTGCATTCTGCATCAGCTGAAGATACTCTTCAAGGGCAGCCCCATGTTGAGCCTGCTACAGTAATTCATTCCGGATGTGAGCAGAAGACGAGAGACTGTGAGTATAGCCTTATGGTCCAGCAAGGCGCACAACACAAAGCTGCGAAAAGGCTGCCACCTGTTTCTCAAGCAGACTAGAAGGAGCCCCCAAATTTCACAACAAGTCTGTCTGGGGCAGTGTCATACAATCCAATGCTGAAGATGGTAAAATACCAGAACCAGAAGACCCCAAAATCCAGATCCACTCAGTATTACCAGGTTCACCTGAAGCCTGGTTGTTCATGTCCGAAACTCTATAGCAGTGGTGGCTAACCTTTTTGGGCTCCTGTGCCAAAAATTGGGTGTGCGCTTGCGTGCCAGCACCCAGAAGGCAATGCATGCTCCCCACGCCCCCTATGCATGCACACACAATCCCCACCCACCCACGCCCCCTTACCTGCACTGCACCTCACAGCTGATTTTCGGCTGGTTTGAGGCCTTTTTCGGCCTCCCAAAGGCTTGAGGAAGGTTTCTGCTAGGCCCGTTTCATCATTTCCAGTATTTCCAGAAAAACGAAGTGATGAAACAGGCCTAGTTTTTGACCTGCAAAGCCTGCAGAAGCCTTCCTCAAGCTCTGGGAGGCTGAAAAAGGCCTCAAACCAGCCGAAAATCAGCTGTGAGGCACGCGCATGCGCAGTGAGATAAGTTTGCCTGCAGCTCGCGTGCCGGCACAAATGGCTCTACGTGCCACCTGTGGCATGCATGCCATAGGTTCGCCATCACAGCTCTATAGCCTTCATGCGCCAAGAGAAGTGGTCAAGTCCATCATTTCTTTTGCCAGAGGTCACCAGCAGAATAAGAAATTTGCCTCCAGGGTACTCAAGATTAGCAATTTCTGGAAAAAGAAAACAGAACTGGTTTGAAGCATAAAATACCACCCCAAATTTTATCCCACCCTCCATTTTTGCACTTGGATTGAAATATTTTACATACACCCTTGTCCTGCATGCCTACTATTGGCGCCAGGAATTTTCCTCCTGGTGAACACAAACTGGATGTTCCCCAAAGGAAAGTTCAGAATGGGTGCTAAAATTCCACCCCAAATCTAATCTCACCCACCATTTTTCCATTCAGGTTGAAATATCTTTTTAACCCCATCCCTACCCCAAGAACCTACTGGAAATTTTTTTACAGGGACTCAAACTTTGCTGTTCTTGAAAAATCAATCCAGAATTGCATCTAAGCATAAAATTCCACTGCGACTCTCATCCTATGCTTCATTTTTGTATATGGACGGATGCATTTTCACCCACCTCAATCAATCAGTTATTGATGGGATCAGGAGATTTGCAATTAGGGACCTAAAATCAGCTGTTGTTGAAAAGAATCTGAATCCTACTCTAAGCATTACATTCTTCCACCCTGGTCTATTCCCAAACTCCATTTTTTTGCATTCAAACCTTTTTTGAATCCCACTGCCCATTGCTCAAACTTCCAGCATCAGGAATTTTCGTCCAATGGACACAAAATCGGCAGTTCTCAAAAAAGATAAGCCAGAACAGGTTCAAAGCATAAAATTCTACTCCAAATCAAATTGAGATACTCCATTTTTCTATTCAACTCGAACGATTTTTCAGCCCTGCCTCTTTCATCTTCTGGAGGTATCAGTAATGTTCATTCGAGAATACCAAAATCAGTGATTTTGGAAAAGAGACTCCAGATCCATTTCCAAAAATAATTTTCCAACCCATATCTCACCCCATTCTTAGTTTCTGAATTGGAGTCAAAATGGTTTTTATCCACCTGCACTGTGCACCTACCACCGGCAACAGGAATTTTCAGTGGTGGGATTCAATTTTTTTTACTACTAGTT